ACGAGATGTAAATGCTTTCAGTACTGTTAAGGTCTATGCTTTCTTTATGTAGCTACACAGAATTATCTATTTAATCTATTATCTAATACCGTTATACATGATGATTCCAATCTCATTTAAATCTGTGGAATACTGTAACAACTAATTAATTCGCTCTTGTCTGTCTTCCCTTTTCCTTCCAAAGCAATTCCTACTATGAAATTTGGGAAATGATACATACGGTAACTACAGTTGTCAGCAACAACTTTTATTTACAGCGTCTCAGGATGGCATAAACCACCTCCTCTGAACGCTTCTCAACCGGAAGATTTCCCATGGAAACCTCCGGTGCTGACTAGAATCACAATTCTCCGTTAACAGGCAAAAGCCACGTTAGCATAGCCAGGAGATGGGGATGCTGGTGGATATGGGTACACGACAGTGCTGAGCATAGGCTCTGCACAGCCACTCCCTCCCATGAGGTCTGCTATGAGTGTCCACCCCTATAGATGCATACTCTTCTTACCTTCCTATGGCAACCGCACTGGAGGTTGATTTAACTAAATTAACAGAGCTTACTGAACTGAAAAGAATGCAACACGGAACAGCCTTAAAAGGATTAATCGCTTAGGTTTTTAGCTCTGCCTTGTGTCCTTATACCTCTTTTTATATGTCATGTTTCTCACAACAGCAATAGTGACAGTGTAGCTAGTCTGGTTAGAGGCATGAGAAACAGCCACATCCCTATCCAACTAAAGATAAACATGAAGACACTGCAAGATAAAAAGTAATTTCAGAAACACTTCCTCCTTTTGCCTTTGTTATGCTGATGGAGAGTCCTAACATGCTGTAAGCATACCTTCTAGATGACCTGCTGTCACCCAGGTGCTGTATGTAGAGATGAATTTCACTCACAGGACAGGCGTTACGTCACAGCTGCCTATCAGCAATAAACCTGAGAAATCAGACTGAGACATTTCTTAAAAAAAACCCCAAACTTATACACCCCATCCAAAAGACCTGACTGCAGCATTTAGAATGTACTATTTCTTAGTACATAGAACAAACTTATTGGAAGAGCATGGCTTTGGCCATAAGCAGTTTCTACTGAAAGACAGACGTCCCAAGGAGGTACCTGTCCAGGTGCACTAGCCTCTCTCTCCTAGAGCCCAGAGCCCCTTCGCCATCACACAAAGCCCCGTAACGCAATCACTGTGGCAGCCCCAAGGACAGCAGCTTTACTGAGCATGGGGACAGTGACTGTCCTGCACGTGCGCTGCTGAACTGATGCTTCTCGCGAGCAGTGGGTTACACGGGGGAGCAGGCTGCTCCGCCAGCTCGCTGAACGTGCGCTGCTCCTTGCCAGAGAGTGTGAGCATGATTAATTAATTGTTTAGTACTAAGTAAGGGGCACACAGTGGCAACTGAGGTTAGTTTTTGCTTTCCTAATGGGGTTCATGATGCCAGAGCAGCTTCCTTGATATCATGTTTAAATTAATATTTTACTAAAATTCTGACCATTTTACTACCCTGTAATTCTTGCAACTCTCTCCTCTCTGCCTTGTGTAATTTCTGGTCATCACTTACTAGTTTGCTGTACGGTCTAGTTTTGTTCTGATTAAATAAAAAAGTGACTAGACAGAACTAGGTGAACTGTCAAACAAACACCTGTAAGACTTTTCAGCATAAAAGTACTCCTAAAATAAGCATTTCCCTAAGACTTGACAAACAACCCAAACAATAAAATGCTTGAACGCTACCCAGTTGATGGGAGTCTTTTCAGGGCTAATTTACATAATTTGACATAATTACAGTTATAAACACTCGAAGAAGCCTTGGAAGGAAGAATGTCACTGAAGCCTACATTTTATTGGATCTCATTGCATTTGGCAGCTGTATGAAACTGTGGAGCATGGAAATTTGCTCAGCTGGATCCTGGTTATACGATCACCCAATGCAAGCTCTGAATGCTCAACGCAAGTTTGTCCTGTACTGAAAGATACCACAGGATCCCCCAAGGCCTCTGTCTGGTCAGCCAGCATGATGTATAATGAAACCAGATTGAGGTACTGGTGGTGGTTCCCTCCATATGAATGCCCATTAAACCACTGTTTTTGGCCACAAGATAGCAGCCAACAGGTGAGGCTCTGCCCCCAGCTGCCTACAATTGGAGGAAGCTACATAACTTAAAGGAAAAAAAAAATCAACTTTGAGATATGTATATACACACACATTTCTAATCAAAGATGCAAATTAAGAATTATTTAATTCTGTAATAGATCTACAGAACCAAGGAGACCACTAGCTGAGGATGACTCCTCCACTTTTGTCATAAGGATTTCTCTCGTCATTACATTTTAACAATGCAAAGGAGGAGGAAAATGTTGTCTGAAGAACACTTTTTCCAAAAATCTGTACAGTCTTCTATCAATCAACCAAGCTGAAGTCCATGTCCCACCACAGACTGGCATGGTACCTCTCAGAATACAGTGTATTTTGCAGGAAAAAATGAGAAAGTTTCCTCATGCAAAGTTTAAGATACATGTCTCAAATGCAGGGCAAATACTGATTTTAGTGCTCGTCTGGGAAATCTAGTTCAAATTTTTTTTCTTGCTCTGGTTGGAAAGTCTTGTTCCCTTTACCCTTCTGAGACAATTCTCTACTTGCACTGCTATGTTTTTAATTATCTGTATCATCAGACATTCTTGTTGAATGGCTAGAGATGCCAGAGAAGGATTGCAGCCAAAGGAAGGCGCTATAAAAAGCTATGGGCCAGCATTTACGTTTTCATTAATATTTCACAAACTTCAAGACTCCATAAGCATCAATACTTACGGTCCTGCTTATTTTCAGTAGTTCTGCTCACTGCATAATATGGAAAAGAAATACCAGACCTTTAAAAACGTAATAAAAAAGACTCTCTTCAGATAGACAGCTTCCAGTGTATTCACAGAAACACATCCTTTCACCAAACTAAATGGGAGCATTTCAGATGGACCTCATCAGTTGATCTTGGCAAGCCTTACTTGCCAAGTACTCTCATTAGCTTTCTTCTAGCTTAGAGAATGTACAAGGGGCTATGTACCATGCTGTATGTTGAGAAATAATGGCATTTTAATTGCATGGGGTATTAACAAAATCCTTTTTGAAGAGCAAGCTTTTAATTATTTCATTTGTCTCTTTAATTTATCATAAGGAAACAACTAATTAGCTTTCACTTGTCCTGGGCAGAAGTTTCTTTGTAGAAGACTTAAGTACAGTCCATAGAGTCTAGTTTAACAGTACTGCACCTTCACTGGGGGATTGTATTTGGAACATGGAATGGAAATACAGACAGAAAACAAACCTAACATTTTTGAAGCTTTTAAGACTTAAATTATCAATGCATTCTACTGCTGCACCCCAAATCAGATCTAACATAGGTTTTACAAAATAGCGGCAGTATTCTGGAGTAGAAACCATTAATTGTCACCCAAGGGTTGGGTTATACAGAGCAACCACTGAAGAGGTAGACAGTACTAAAAAGTTACTGAAATACTATCTAAATAAATATGTTAATTCTTTTTAAAAATAGTACCAAATATCCAGTGCAGAGATGGCCACAGAGAGCCCCCCCACCCCCGATGAGACTATTGTTACAACTTGAGAAAAGACATAATTAAAACTCTGCCCTTGAGGAGACTGAAGGTGAAAGCTGGGGTGTCTTTTCAGGTTAGGGATTTAAGGTCTGCTGCTTCAGAGCTACCCTTTAAAGACAAAGATCTGCATTACTTTCAAGTATAAACACAAATAATGTTAATAGTATGCTTTACTCATTACTGTCCAAATGCTCTCTGCACTAAGGTAGATGCTAGACTGTATTACCAATGTCCTAAAATACACTGATCGTGGCTGTTGAAGTCAAAGAAGAAAACAACTAATTAATCGGTAGAAAAGATACTTGCAAACCCACATAGATGATACAGAAAAATTAAATGCAGGAATAAAATTACCTTGAAGGTGCACCTCAGTCCATGGGCTGGAGTACACAACTAGATTTGTAGACTCAAAACTGCAGGGAAGCAACTGTCACCAGTCAAACTGGCACTAGCTATTAAATTTTTCACAGAAGCTTAATCAGGTACTTGTTTTAGAAAGTACCGTAATCTCATTTTACTTATCTTAAGCAACTGACATGTCTGTACCTGACATAGTAAACTTCCAATGTCTTAATTCTTACCTTAGGAAGATCTTACCTTCCTTTGAAAGACGAAATTTGACTGTCTTTAGCTTCCAACCATTGGAACCTGGCTTGTCTTCAGGACGACCTACGTCCCTCTGTAGGAACACTGATATGCTTTGAGTCACCTTGCCACTTCCTCTTAGCTAAACTGAACAGAGTGATCTCCATAAGGATTCTATGGCAGAGCATGTTTTCTAGCCCCAGAACTTTGGTGGCTTCTTTATAGTTGTCCCTTGTATTTCTAAGTCAGTTATGAAGTGTGGACGCCAGGCCTGGACTCAGTGGCCTATCAGCATTCTCATCACTGTGAAATCACTTAGCCTTTACTTACACTTCTTTTTATTTTTCTCACACTCACATACACATAAAAGCACTAGTCTTTTTAAGTAAGGAACTGCAAAAGTGGCTCATTATGAGGCTGTTATCATTAATGACCCAATATCCCCTTTTCTGAGTTGCTACTTCCACAAAAACAAACAACAAAGCTTTCTGTTTCTTGTTCCTAAATAGGTTACTTTGCATTTGATTCTACCAAAATCACTTTTTTTTAATTAATTCTGTAGCACTCACTCTGCCTTAGAAACAAGTAATTTATTGTGCAGTCAGAAAATGTAACGCAAGCTTTTATAACCTCCTGAGGTAGCTGACGTTGGGATCAAATGTAAACATAGCTTCTTGGCTCCATGCAAAGAAAGCAAGGATAAATCTGGTTCTGTTAGTAAGGAGATTACTCACACTTTGGATACAGAAACAAAGCTTTTGAACTTTCTGAATGAAATGTCTGCTGAGTAAGAATTACCTGAGTAAACTGCCAGTAAAGCTTCATTCTCTTGGCTTTGGCATAATTGCATTCAATGAGCCTGGGCCTGCTGTTCACATCCACCAGGCATCTGTTGTCATCATCGTCGATAGTGGGACTCAGAACACCCACATGGAGCTGCTGATTGCTTGTGTAATAAACATTCTGCAACAGGAAGCACAAACAAGATTTGTGGCCTCTAGACAGAAGCAGCACTTTTACCAAAAAGCTAATGGCAAAGATAAATATGCTGAATAGCAGTAGGCTGACCCCATAGTGGCTTTTAAATGATTTCCCTTCATGCAAGAGGCAACATTTTAAAAGTTGTTCTAAATTAACAACTAATTGTTAATTGTTACCAACAACTAACCATTGGCTAACTACTTAATAGGAAATACACAAACAAAAATGATTGTCTCATCGTGTGCCTTTCTACTTCTGTTTCCTATGGTCATGCACCGGGGGTCTTCAAAGAGCAAGATGTACACCCTCTGGCAGGAAGTGGGACTGGATGAGTATTGCCATCCACTCTGATTAGACTATTTCATCTGAGGATAATGACTGGAGAGGTAAGAAAGCGAACAGCAGCACAGCAGGAAGGATCGCAATCTTTTATATGACAGATAGAAAGATAAATGAAGGTTTTCTACAAACAAATGCCTAAAACCAAATTTGAGGCAGCTAACTGAAATCCAGTATATACAATAAAAAGTTATTAGCAGTTGGTGACAGTTGCATAGCAGTAGAGAAAACAGAATGGCCATGTTTCAGGCTATTTGTTCTCATTTTATTTTGTACACGTCAATACACACAGACACAAGAGACTGGAAAAAGGGATCAGACATTGGCTGCTCTGGATTTCTAGCAAAGGAGTGCTCCCGTAGGCCTCAGTGATTACACTTACGACAGTGAGACTATTCTATTACACAAATGCTTTCCACTCTGTTTGACTACAGATACGTGGGAGGTTTCTCTAGAAGAAAAAAAAAGAAGGGGAAGGAAGGTAAGCTTGCCAGACAGAGTGGATAGTGTGTCCTCTTGAAGACAACAGGTTACATATAAGCCCAGAAAGGTAACACAGGACTATGCTGGGATTGTCTGTTTGCTAATCACAAACAGAATTTATTTTGCTAAAATCAGACTTTTTCTTGAGAGGACCATGAGAAAGATGAAATGGTTGACATCATGCTTTAGCAGCCTAATTCGAGAAGGGTAGATGTAAGGCTTTGACAGCTCCAGTGGTATCGGGAGTCGCAACAGACAAGGACTGGACAGAAGCACCAGATTAATGTCCCTGTCACCTTACTGTAGCCTTTCTCCTCCCAGAAGGGGAGCTGGAAACTATGCTGAGTGTATTTGGGAATCTTTTCTCTTCTCAGAGGTTGATGGTACTTCCTCCTGGTATCTGTTCATTGTTGATGTTGTAGCTTGTTTTTTATATGCGTATTCTTATTTGTGAAAACTCTGATAAAATATTAATTGCAAATAGGAGAGAAAGCAGAGGAACACAACAAACCAGGACTGAGGAGAGATTTGGCAGCTTCATGTAAAAAAACAACTTTGAATGCTGAAATTGGTCAATGCAGAGATTAAATACAGATGAAAACAAATGGTGGTGTTTCTGTGCAAGACTACGTTCTCTGTTTACTCTTGTGGAACGCTGCTGGGGCAGATCCGCAGCAGATACAAGCTGACATAGTTGCGCAGAAGTTAATGAAGTTGCCATTAATGGTTTACACTAATCAAAGGTTTGACCCCCTTCATCAAGTTTCATTCTTTTCACCCCACAGAAATGATAACAGAAATCTGAGCTGGCTGAACTGAGGCGAGCCTAGGGTTTAAGACTCTGAGTAAAGTTGAATAGTTCAGTCATGCCTTCCAGGGAAGAGAAGGGTAAATAAAAGCACCTAGCAGAGCACATTTCCAAAATGATTGGTTATTACTGATTGAAGTAAACCATAAGAACTGTGGGAAGACTGACAAGAGCACACCCCAACCAACTCCATCCGTAAGTTAGATAATTAAACATTACTACAAACAAAACTGATGCTTTAGAAGGGCAATAAACATTTAGAATGCGCTTTCTAGACAGACCAACAGCAATTATTTTAGATACATTTAAGAACTATCCAGATGATTTTTTTGGAGAGGGATTGAGGTAATGCTATAGCAAGGCAGTAAGATGAAGATGATCTTTAAAGGGGATTGTTAGGACACAGTGACTCTGCAGATGAACATTTTGTTGCAGCTCATTTGTCTCTTACCTAAAATTACAACTAGAAAAATGGGAAGAAAACTGACAGTTATTTGCATTTTTTACTAGTAGGAAGTGATTTGTTAGTTCCATTTTTCAGCACATGGTCACCACAGAAAACATGGTAGAAGAAAACAAAGGCGCTTTGCGTTTTTTTCTTTCCTTTTCTTGAAGATACATGTCAGTCACTGAAAACAAATGAACAGGCTTGGCTGTAACTCTGAGAAGTAGACACTATAGATCAGGGCTGCTTGTGCAAAAAAAGTGGTGTACCTGCAACCCCTCAGGGCTGAGCTGGTTTTGTTAGCTCAGTCTCCTCAGCCTTTCACAGAGTGGCCTGAAGGCTCCAGGTAATCATTTTATCTTCCTGGATAAAGCAAGCCCAATTCATGCTGCAGCTCTACCAGCTTTTTTGATTTCAAATCAGCAGTGGTTCAGTCTGAACATCATTCTGGGCAGAAGCAGAATGATGGCTCTGGCTAGGGGAATTACCCAATTCTGTTTGTTGGCAAAACTGTTCAGAAATAGAACAATCAGATGCAATTATGCTTAATAGAGATAATTAGTAGGTTGTTGCTTACCTTTAGAGAGCTCATCCTACCTGCTAATACCACTTCATTTTTCATTGTGGACCAGTTTAGAAAAAGAGGTGTGAAATCTTGTGTTCTTGCCTAGTTTTGGGAAAGGCACCTTTCAGCTGCTAAGTGGCATGTAAAACTAAGCTCAAACTGAAACAGACCGTGGTAGAGTGGCAGTTAGTCCTTCTAACTAGGCTCCTTCAGGATGTTGCTTTGCTTACCCAGTAATATGGATAGTATTTAAGTATTCTATATATTAATTATTATAAATATTTTAGTATCTTATCCAGTAATACCATCTTATTTCAGAATTGAAAATATTGCACAACCTGGTAATTTGACTACTATATTTTTCTAGTGGAGAGATCACATCAAAGGCACATATCCTCTACAAATTCTACTTCAGCAGCATGCTAGCAAACAGCAAGGTATCAGTTTGTGTTCCACTTGGCCACAAAACTTTACTTAAAACCTATGGCTCCTTCCCAAAACCCGAGAATGAAAGAGTCCCCGCACTGAGAGCACATAATGGTAACTATGTCAGGATGAAGGGAGGACATCCTTTCAGTGAAACAGAACCAGCTCTTGACACCGCTGATTAATGCTCTTCTAGTCTGAAACCTAAAGCGGTTAAACATGAAGCCATGGTAAAGCCTCCCTTAAAATAATTTCCTATATTAAGAAAAATATTCTAATTGCTTTCACACTGTATCTCTTCTATTTGATTATTTTCATTTTCAAAAATACTTCTAGGGTTTCTTTTTTTGTGTGTGGTTTAGTTTTGGGTTCCTTTTAGTTTAAAGATGGTACATAAATTACCTTTCTGGAGTAGGCAGTAGGAGATTAACTAGCTGAGTTACATGAACTGAATTACTATCTCATAATGTACTTGTTAGGTATGCACATACATGACTTTTTATTGATCATATTTTGAATTGACCTGCAGAGAAAATATGATCTTGCAGATTAAAACCATGCTCACGTTTTATCATCTTATGTGTAGCCATACAAAAACCAGTTTATACTTGTGATTTAAGTAAGTTGTTAAATAGATAAATGCCTCAGCAGTACTTTTTCAGAAGGATGCTTTTAAATAGCATCAACAAGTACACTAGCTGTTTTGCAGTCCACTTCAGCACAAAATGGACAACTGAGGCACTTCTGTTTAAAACACTTCAGAAGATACAGCAAACAACATTTTACCAGCACATCTGTTCCTACAGTATTTTGCAACATCACCATCAACTAACACAACAGGATAGAAATCTTGCAGTAATTTAGAAAAGTGATTTTTGAACAATCACTCCAGTACTTTCTTGGAAGTCCAGATGACTGAGTATTGAATATGGACTATTAAGCCATTATGGCAACTTTGAAAATTTTACTCAGAGGTTGGAACTTTCATTTCTGTACAACAGCAAATGTCACAGCAGTCCTCATTCAAGGGATTGGAGACTCAATAGCCAAAATTTTGCTTAGTTCCACTGAAGTTGCAGCCTCAGCAAAACACAACCACACATTTTCACATTACCATCACATACATACTCCCTAAGGAGCTACTGAATTCCCACAGAAAGAATCTTGCTTGGATGTTGGTACCAAAGCACATGATTAAAAAAAGCAAACAACAAACCAACTCCCCTATTCTGTAACAAAATAAGCCTCCTTACATTTTGTTAGTCTGTTCGAGCCCACAGCACTTTACCTTCTATTTCTTTCACTGTAACAGTACTGATGTACAGCTGCATCTCCTGGGCAACTGGAAGGGAGCACCTTTGCTCAGGAAAGCAGTTAAGTTCAGCAAAAGGCACTTACCTTCTCAAAAAGTGAAGCTACAAGGGATCAACATTACTGTCAGCTAGAAACTCTGTAAAAATGTCTGCCAAGTGTCAGAGTCAACATGGGCCTGAGCCTTAGGCACTTCCACATCTCCTTCAACCACACTCCCACCAGGTGCTTTTCAAGGGTGGATGAGTGCCGTTCACACGCTGACAGCTGGCTCTGGAGGCTGCTGCTCGCTGCCTGCTTTCCCTGCCCTCACTACAGGTCCAGCTGCAGTCAGTGTCCTCAAGAAACTTCCTTTGGAAAACTGGGGCTCGCAGCACATTTAAGTGGTGCAAAAACAGTTGTTCAAAACAAAACCGGGTGTTATTAACCTAAGGATTGGCAGGAAGCAAATGATTTAAGTAAGTAACAAAAGCTTCATACCTGGGTCTGAAGAAAAGTGTGTTGGTTGCCTTCAAAGCTCAACATAGGTCTCTGCCACAACGCTTCCGTTTCAGTCTCTCTTGTGATCTCGAAGAACAGCCTGATAATTAATTACCTTCATAACT